TTGAACCTGGTTCTGTTCAGACGCTCCTGGTTTCATGTGGATCAGAATCATTTTAAGGAGACGGACTCGGAGCTTTAATCTCCATTCTTGCACATCTTCCTCTGCCGCTGCTTCCCCTCTGTGAGGCGAACACCGCCCCCTGCTGGTCAGCTGTCAGAGCAGCAGCAGGAAGAATCTGCTCCATGTTCACATCCTGGAAACATCCGGAGCTGAAGCTCATCATCCGTCAGTCTGTCCCAGTTTACTCAGGGACTCACGGTTGCTGGGGTTCGGGACAAACTTGGAAGAAAAATTATGCAGAGTCCAATTTTACACATTGTTGTTATATAAAGTTATGTGACCGGGACAACCCAGATCTGAACTTTCATCAGATTGGAGCAAAGTTCATCTTTCCAGAGTTTCTCTGATCGTCCATGGAGCAGAAATCTGAACTGTGAATGCTAACGTTAGCATTAGCTGCTACATGTTAGCATTCAGAAGCTGTTTCAGGCAGTTAGCCTGTCAGCTTGTTAGCACAACTTGAACACAGCAGCAGCAGCCGATGCAGCTTTACTGTCTAACTGTCGGCTGGACAGGAAATCACCGTTTCAGGCAGAATATTAATATGATAAAAAAATAATAAAAATTGCTAAAAAAAATTTAATGAGTTCAAATCTATGTAATGAAGGCACCAAAGTCACGGCTCTAGTTAAACTCGGTCTTTTTCTCTTTCCTTCCTTTGATGTGTGTTTAATAGAAGTTGAGGTGAACACCTGAGCAGAGCTCTTCATCTTCATCATCCTCAGTCACTCACCTGTTCTGTCTCATTTAGAGCCGCTGATGTCTTTGAAGAGACCCAGTCGGGCTTCCGTACCCGAGCTCACTGTGGACCAGCAGCTAGCAGCTGCCGACTCTTCCTCCTCCTCCTCTTCCTCCTGTGACCTGGACACTGAGAGCACCGCTCTGTGAGGACCAGTCCATGACCTCACGATGACCTCACAGGCCCAGTCCTCCACACCGCCTCTCCTCTTCAGCTCATATCTGCATCTGAACTGATTCACGTGGAGGGACATGTCACACTGCCCCCTACTGGCTGCTGTCATGTACTACACACACAAGTGTCTTTAAGCCAAAGTTCCTGTTAGAAGCGACGTAGCAGCTTCTCTGTGTAACATCGTTCTCTCACTCACTCACACACACACTCACTCACACACACACAGATTGCCAGGTGTGTTTCCACACGGCTCTTTTGACAAGTTTTCTTCCTGCTTTCTCGTTGAATGTGATTCAGATCAGGTGAAGAAGGTGACTGCTGGTTCTCAGTCATCAGTTTCTCCTCCATGTTTGTATTTATTAGCTGGTTTAAGAACACACACACACACACACACACACACTGCAGTCCAGCGCCAGCCATGCCTTACGGTTCTGTTTCCTGCGTTTCTGCCTTCAGGGACATGAGCTGCCATCCCTCACTAGAACCCGGTTCTGGTCAGTTTCTGCCTTTCCTCAGCGCCGTCTGGGTCAGAGTGAATGTAGAGTGGGCCGGTTCCGAGCGGCCGGTTTTGCACAGATAAACTGATGATGATGATGCTGCCTTCGTCCCCCTCTGAGCTGACAGGAAGCTTCAGCCATGACGCCGGGGGAGGTTCTGCCGGGTGGGAACGTGAGGGGAAGGCGTTGGACGTTCGGCTCTCCCTCCTGAACCTCGCTGCCTTATTTCCCAGAATCCTTCAGGCTCATTTATTATAACTGCAGCATCTTGAAGCTCCGACGTTTATCATGTTTTCTGAGCTGAAATATGAAAAATCCTGTAATATTGAAGCTTCCCAAAGAAAATAAAGTATATGAAGATTAAACATGTTTCCTGTCTGGTGATCTGCTGGCATCTGCATGTTTCTGATCAGAATAATCAGGAAAATGTTTTATTACGATAAAAAAATGCGGAAAAATAAAAACATTCATTAAATCAGGAGTTATCTGGGCCTGAAATCAGTTATTGACATAATCTAACTTAATCATTGATTAGTTGAATAATTGAACCAAAACTGTTCAATATGAACATTTAATATATGAGAATCTTTATTCTGTTCTACCAGAACGACTAATTTGAATTTATTTTAATCTTTTATTGTATTTCTAATGGATTATAGAATAAGATCAAATGTTCAGTGAAAAATCTGCATAATTTACTAATTTGTTCCTATTCAGTGAACGGATTACTGTTAACTGAATCCTTCTTTGGTTCTTTTCAGAGGAACATCTAAAGTTCTGCTGGAACTTTTTTCTGAAAACCAGAACTGAACGGGACCGACCCGGTTCTGACCCAAAGTGTCAGAACTGGAGAATAAATGTAAGGACTCAAAATCCAAAACATGAAGTTTATTTAAAGCAGAAAAGCTCTGAGAACCACAGAACATCAGAACAGAACCTTACTGGAACTAGTGAGATGCTACCAGCTGCACATCCCAACAGGAAGTGACGTCATGCTGCCGCGCCGCCTCACTGAAGCCGAACAAGAAAAAGTTTCATAAGAAAATAAACGGATTTTTGGGGCAGAGCCAACAAGCAGGATGCATAGAAAGATCGACAACACGACTGGACAGGACAGGTCGCCATGGTTACCAGGTAAACCAGCAGGCAGTGGCAAACATCTGGACTCGGTTTATAATAACCTGAAACCAAACTAACGGATCAAAACGGATTTTAACGGATTGCAGATTGAAGTGATGAAAAACGTTCATCAGATCAGAAATTTCTTCATATCGACTTCTTAAAAAATAAAAGCATTTATTACATAATAAATATTCACTTTGCTCTCCGTCTGATTGTCAGATTAAATCTAGAATCATCTGGAGTAAATCTGGACCTCAGCTCTGAAGGTCTGAAATCTGACCCGATGAAAAACGAGCTCCAGAAGTGAAAACATGAATTTATTGGAGCTGCAGAACAAATCAGTTATTAACATTATTTAACGTGAAAATGTTTACTCCAACTAGATTTAGATATTTAAACTAGAAACTTATGTTTAGTGGCTGTGAAGGAGAAAATTGATTCATTTAATCATAACATCAACGATTTTTACATCTCTGCCAGAAATCCTGAACATTATTCGCCATCAAGATGAAAATTCAGTTTTTATTGATCAGACTATTGATCAATAAAAACTAGAAGATCAAAGAGTTACATCACAGTCGGATCAGTGGTTCCGGACCAGTTCAACCATTTTGCTCCTTTGATCGGACCAGTTTGGGCCAAAGTGGAACTCATGAAGAAGAATCAGAACATCTGGTCTAACCAGGTCGGTTCTGTTGACCGTCTTCAGAGCTGCAGGTCCAGATGTTGGTCTTGGTGGTTCTGGAGCTTTTGGATTCAGACTGTCCATCAGACCCGGTTTGTCTCCTGGGTTCTGATGGGACACCAGCGAACCCGTCTCCCATAGCAACAGATGGATCTACAACAGCTGCTGAGCCGAAGGCCAGCGACGATCCGGGCGAACGCGGCAACAATTTGATAATAACAAGTTTATTATCATTATTATTACTGATAATAATGATAATAATATTAGTAATAATGATAATATTATGTTATCATTATTATTAGTTATAATAATAATATTAGTAATAATGCTAATAAATATTCTCCTTCATACAGAGATAGCAACGTTCTGTCTGTTTCAGCACCTAATCCAATCCGATCCTGATCCGATCCAGTCCTGATCCGGTCCGGTCGGCTCGGCGGCTCCTACCAGGCCAGGGGGGAGGACAGCCGGGGGCTGCGGGGGTTCTCAGGACTCTGGGTCTCACTCAGCGCTCTCTGGAAGACAGAACCAGAACCTTTACATCATCGGACCCAATCGTGTCCCCGCTGCAGGCGCTCAGTCTGCTGCTGAAACGCCACTGGCGACTCTGAGGCAAATCTGTCAAAGTTTCGCTGAAGCAGTGAAAATGAGACGCTTCCTATCTGAGCCGGGTCCAATTTAGCCCGGCCGGTTCCGGATGGCAGCTCACCTCAAACTTGGACATGAACTCTGCAAAGATGCCGAAGAAGGAGTCGGTGCTGGTGGACTGGCTGTCCTCCCCGAAGAAGGACGCCACCTTGGAGAACTCGGCCATGGCCCGAGACTGAAGGGACTCCAGGGACTGCAGGGCCGGGTGGCTGTTCTCCAGAAAACTCTGTGGAAGGAAGACAGACTTCAGTTACTGTCTGGGTCTGCTGGGCCGGTCCAGAACCAGAACCAGAAGTCGTTCAGCTTGATGGATAAATATTTAATTGGAGATGAAGATTTAGCTTCAAACTGAATTAACTTTAAACTGAAACATAGGAATGAATGAATGGATGGATGAATGAATGGATGATGAATGAATGGATGGATGGATGAATGGATGGATGGATGGATGAATGAATGGATGATGAATGAATGAATGAATGAATGAATGAATGAATGAATGGATGGATGAATGAATGGATGGATGAATGGATGAAGTTGAATGAATGGATGGATGGATGAATGAATGTATGGATGAAGTTGAATGGATGGATGAATAAATGGATGAATTAATAAATGAATGGATGAATTAATACATGAATGAATGGATGACGTTGAATGGATGAATGAATGGATTGCTGAATAAATGAATAGATGAATGAATGAATGGATGGATGGATGATGTTGAATGGTGAATGAATGAATGTATGGATGAAGTTGAATGGATGGATGAATAAATGAATGGATGAATGAATGGATGAAGTTGGATGGATGGATGAATGAATGAATGAATGAATGAAT